TCTTTGCAATAAGCCTTTTATTTCTAATACCAGCTGATAAAATTTAAAAAAAATATTTTAAATCTTTCTTTGTTTCCTTTCACAAAAAGTGCCAATTTGAATTTTTTTATGGAAACACTATAAATAGTCCAAATTTTGATGACCTTTTTCTACTAGTAATAGTGAATGATTATTTTGAATTATTTCAGAGTATGAAGCAGTTAGGTGCAGAGACCCTGTGTGAATAAAGTGCCCAGGAGGCGTGCTTCCAGTGTGACAGAGCAAGAAAGAAGCAGGATTTTAAGAGGCATCCGTGTACAACATATTAAACGGTAACTAGTTTATTGTTAGAACATCTTTTCTGGAATGAATCGTAGTCGCCCGATAGAGCGGAACTGCTCTGAAGGACTTTTGTTCATGCTCCGAGAATCGTTGCTCGCATGGAAAAATCACAAAGACGTATTCTGAGCTTTAAACGTTTTTTAAAAATAGCTCTCGGACATCTTAATTGGCTATTTTTAAAATGCAAAATGTGTGTTAATTTTATTTGGAGCCGCCATGAGTGTTCAGTTGTAATTTATCGGGGGCACAAGCGGTGATAATTATGACATAAATTAAGTATGGCGGAGGTGGATGGATGGATCGAGTGTTTGGTTCTAATCTGGCGGCGCCCGTATTTATTTATAAGCCGCGGCGAGATAAGCGGCAAATATTGCCAGCTGTTCAATAACCTAGCAGGTGGTTTTATGTCGGCTCGCCTGCTTGTTTTTCACATGCACCGCCACATTTATACGGCCAGAGCTAAACGTAGCAAATGAAATCGGACTTTTTTGCTCTCGGCAACCAGCAGCACGTCGGCTGAACAAAAAACACACAAATTTTCTATCTCTCTCTGGTTCGCTTCGAAACGGCAGTTCCGCTCTTTGCTTCTCTGTGTGTTTGATCGTGATTGTCAATTTGTTCTCTGGTGGGAAAACGAAATTTATGAACTTGGTTGCCAGAAAACAAAGCGAGCGCCGATTTCAAAGGGAATAAATAGTTGAAGAAAAATTTAAGAATATTTCTTGTGTACCCTGGCATAATTTCAATTGGAAGGAAAAGAACGTTTAAAAGCTGCGTCAATATTAATCGCCAACCGGGAAAATATTTGCAGAGAAACTACCACGCCAAACGTTTGTGGAGAGAAAAACGAAATTCAAACCAAGCGGATAAATGATTGAGGTGTGAAGAAAATTACAGAGCTGCGCCTCATCGAAATCGAATCAGCTCTGAAGTATGAAGGACACGGAAACAGAGCAGAGGCTTTGCTGCTGAATTCACTATTGATGGACGCCGCGAGTTCTCACTTAAAGTCACAGTTTGACATTAGTTGACTTTCATTAATAATAATTCGTAGTCAGCAAAATTATTCAATCAAAAATTCTACTATTTTTGGGTATTTCAATATAATTATGTTAAATATTAAGAAGGTTAAAAAAAATTTCACCCCTATCAATTCTCCCATGTCAACTTGGATCTTGAATTTGGAGACTTCTGAAATAATATTTAATTGTAAGAAGTTTTCTCAAATAAATTTTATGTAATGTATTATGAAACATATGGCAGCGATATATCTAAACTTATTTTAACTTTACATTTTAACACCATTGCTGGCATTGTATACTATATAAGTAAAAATTCAAAGATTTATTGATGTGGAAAATAAAATATTGTTACAAGGTAAATAAAAGAAGTACTGTTTAAAATGATTAAAATGATAAAAATTATTATAAAATACAATAAATAAGTATAAATATAAATATAGATATTTATTTATTTTATAAATATAAAATATTCTAAATATGCTTTAATTGCAAAAATTATTATTTTATAAATATACTTGTTAAGCATTATTTTTTAGCAGCTTCATCAAACAATTATTGTTTCACGGATCCAGGAAGTGATTACAATAATGATATTATGCTATTTTAAACTCATTTCCCAATCAAACACAATTTTTATTTATCCTTTAGGACCTAAAAATGTAAAAATGAATATGAAAACGTGGATGACATGCTTTATATATTCAAAGCACGCAAGAATTAGAGGGATTCACGCTTAATCAAAGCTCGCCCTAACCAAATTCCACCAATCCCGCTGTGGTAAATTACCCCAATTGGCCTCAATTCAAAAACAAAGTGCGTCCATTAAAAACAAATCCATCAAGCAAATGGTGCGCACATAAAGGGGTAACAATTACAATGGCACACACAAAAGCGGTTCAAATTTCTAGCTTTGTGCGTTTCTGTCTCCCTTTTTATTTCGATTATTCAGTACAAATTATATTTATCTGGCTGCTAAATTAATCATTTCGAAAAATGAAATTCTGCGTGGACAAAAGCGAGAGCCGGAAAATGAAAACGGAGGTAAAGCACACACACACGCGAATGAGGAAAGGCATGCACGGCACACACACATGTCGTGGAAAAAGCTCTTTGTTTGCGCGAGGAGCAAAGCCACCCCTTTTGCGTGCAACAGCTCGGCGCCGCCGTTGCTGATAACGAAAATAATAATAACGCACGCGGGTAAATATATGACAGCTGCAGGTGTCATTCGCCACCAGCTGCATATTCAATACAGTTAAATTACTTTCATTCCCTAGATTACCAGCCAAGGTACGTGTGTGTCGCGCAGAATGAGGTTCGGGGCGAAACCTGAAGGGACCCGAACTGTTCTCCTTGGGGAGCTTGCGCCGCTAAACGCAAATTTAAGGGGGAAAGTGCATTAAAGGAAGGCACACGGAAGCTTTGTGCAGCTGGCAAAAAACCTTTTTGGTGTTTTGGAAGGATGAAGGAGCGTACCTTTGTTGAATAATTTAACACTCTTGACAGAAAAATGAATTTTTTTTAAAATTATTTTTAACTTTTTAATATTAAATAAATATTTAAATAAGCTCAAAGTTAATTTATTTAATAGGGAATGTATTACAAAAATATTATAACCATCTGTTGTACTATAAGAGTCATTCAGAATTAAAAAAAAATCAGACTTTATTTTTAATGGAATTTCAGGCGTTTTGAAATTTCTAAACAAGTTTGTTGTGTATTAACTGTTTGTTGTTGTGAAACTCAAAGTTTTGCTGCATGATTTTCTCTCTGTTTCCTGTCAATCCTCACATACCTCAGCCATTTAGGTGTAACACATAAAGTTACGAAATTACAATAATTACACTCGCAACCGGCGCGCTATTGGCGACAAACTGTAGAACGACTTTTGCATCCGCTACGGCTCTGTTGCCTCCTCCAACTTCTCCGAAACGCGCCGTTTGACCGCCGAGCATCAGGCAGAATAATAATAATAATTATATCAAGCGCAAGAGTTTGCATGTTTGTCTGTTACTTAAACTTGCCGCTTTGTTTCTTGGCGTGAATTAAGCGCAACGAGCACGCTCGCCATAAACAAGCGGCGCACATGCACTCTCATTATTATTATTTGCAACAAACTGCATGCGAGAGAGAGAAAGAGAAAAAGCACTGACTGAGAGGGTGCAATCAGCAACAGCACGTATAATCAGTTTGAACTCAATTGTCTCGTGCAATACGCGCGCGCGCCAAGCACAGCTCACCGGCCGTCGACCTTTTCTGCATATATTGTGTGGAAAACGAATTACTCATTACTCGCTAGGGAGTCTGCAATTGTTTCTAAACAAGCTCTTCTCTTTTTTACCATCGTTGTGAAAGGCAAGCAGATTTTTTTTACTCGGCTTTTAAATATAGAAAAAGCAAGCATATTTTATAAAATGTAAGCAGACCACAAAAACCTCTAAAATTATTGTTCATAAAAATTTTTAGAGAATATAAAAATTTGATGGCTAATAATAATTGGTGAAATTTTACATTGTTGGCAAAGTTTGGGTTGTCCGTAAAGAAACGTGATTAGTTTGTTAATTAAAATTATACAAGTAAGTAAGAACTTTTGCGCTATTTAATGAAAGTTTAAGAGTTTTCAAGGAAAAGAAACGATCTTAGTTCATCATTGAGACAGTTTTTGGATGGAGTAAATTAAAATTTTAAACAGAGACATGAACATAAATGTGGTGTGGTTTTTGATTTTAAATGAAAATTTCATCAACATAATAAAGCCTGTCATGCTTAATTTTTTCCATCACCTAAGAAGGAATTCCGTCTTATTTAAAATTTAAAAAGCTTCATTTTTCTGGCCTTCTAGAAGAATCAACATTTTAAATATTCTATTGATAGTCAGGAAAACGAAGTCACTGGAAAAAGGCACTGAGTACTATCCTAGACTGTCTTTCTTTTCATTTTCATAGTGAATTAAATTATATTTCATATCGTATCATATTTTTGTCTGCTAAATATATTACATTTTCCCCCATAAAAAAATCAATGTGAATACAATTAATATTGAAAACTAATAATACTACAAGAATTATGATATTTATTGAAATTAAAGACAGTATTATTTCTGAAGTGAGCATTAGTAGGCATGATTTTTAGTTAGTTTGTATGACATGACATTGTTATGTATAAAATTTATTAATGTGTGAGGAACAAATAAATTAGAATTTTCAAAATATGGCTTTTAAATTTTTAATTCTAATGGGGAATTTAAAATAAAAAATGGTAAATTAAATTTTTTAAGGAAATGATAAAAATGAGAAGACAAAAAATGAATTTCTTTTATTAAATTAAAAGTTCCTTTGTATTATGAATTTCACCAAAAAATTAATCCATCAACAGAAATGGATGTGCAGAAAGGATTGCAATAATTAGAATGGGTATTCGTAATGTGTCTGGGCGCACGTAGCCGCGAACGAACGCAGGCAAGACGAGGGGCGCCGCGGGGGTGTGCGGGTTGCATAATCGTCGTCGGCGGGTTGCGAGCCAAGAACCCCAGCGAGCTGGCGAGCGAGCGAGCGAGCGGGCGAGGAGGTTGGCGGCGCTATCGACGTACGAACGAACGAGCAGGGGTGTCTGTGGAGCCGCCGAGCGAGGGCCGAGCGGCTGCTGCGGCATCCGACCGCGAGCGGAGCTGCGAGTTGGGCAGCGCTGCCTGCCGAGCGCCGCGACCGCCGTGTCAGTCGAGCTGGAGGCGGCGGACGCGAAGCACACCATCGAGGACTCTCTCGCCCCACTCGCGCGCCTAAGCCCCTACTCGGCCTGATTCCACTCCGACCGGCACACCAGACACTCAGTGGAACGCAAACTGGTTTTCTCTCTTCTCTCGTTTTTTTTTCATCCTCTCTCTCTCTCTCTCTCTCTCACTCACTCTCCGCCGGTATGTGGGAGGATTTTTTACATTCGCCGTACTCGACGAGCATTACTCACCAGAGCGGCTAGAATATCAACCGGCCCCACTTCTTCAGTCTGCGAGCTGCTCCCTTGCGACTCCAACCTCTGTGAGAAAACTCCGTCTTCAACAAGCCGGACTTAAAAAAAATCACTCTAGAGTTCGCCAAAAGTGATGCAGATTTAAGGTGAGTCTTCAATTTTCGTTCTTTCACTTTGTGAATCCCTAAATTGACTGCATTTCCTCAAAAAGCAGATTTTTTTTTAAATAAATACAAATTTTTTGTTAAAAAAAATTCTAAGTTCGAAAGTCGAAAGTTGAAGAAAATTATGAAAGCAGTGGATTTCGTTCCTGATTCAAATTCAAACTTTTTATCAAACAAGGAAAGTGTCAAGCGTTTCCTCCTGCCATCTAATCACACCAACTTCCTTTGGTAAAAAAAAAACAACCAAACTCGCTCCTCGCTACTTTATTCAAACTCGGTGCGGCACAAAAGAAATAGCGCAAATATATCCGCGCACCACTTTTTGCGTCAGTGGGTGACAAAAAAATTCAGCCCCTGCTCTTGATCTTTTTCTATCTGGTTCAATTCGAATATATACGCGAGCAAAAATAAACATTTCGAGAGAGGAAAAGTTTGGCAAAGTCGGCACAAGAAAGGCAAAATTGACTCCTTCTCTCGTTAAAGAGAGCGGCTTCTTGCTCTTCTGCCTTGTTATCCACTGCGTGTATGTAAAGAAAATAATTGAGTGCATGCGCCGCTTGTCAGATGAAAAAATTAATTTGTTTGTACAAATAAGGAGATACGCGTACGCACGCACGCGGCTGGCTGATTGCTGCCGCCGTTGATGATTGAAAATGCTGCACATTTTAATAAGGCAGCGTGTCACTGTGAACGGTGAAAAACGTGCCAAACGGGTCGCGGAATCTAACCCATCGGGCAGTAATTCCAATTAAAATTTAATAAGTAAATTTCTCAAAAATTGAATTTAAATCCCAAAACTAAACATAAATTAGAGATTAAAATGAAAAATGATTTTTTGCAGATAAAAGAATTACAAAAAAAGGACAAAATTTGTTGTTTGTTTGTTAAATACGTTTTAAATAGTTTTTTTTAAATAAATTAAAATTTGAAAATAGGTACTTTAATTAAATTGTATGGCACAATTTTTTTCCGCACAGTGGGAGACAAAAATCGGTTCACATTCTTGATTATATTTCAAATTAGAGCAAATTTGTTTCCGGTTTTGGCCAAAATTAATTATTTTCCACAATCCGGTGCATGCCTAATGATGGCTGGTGAGCGAAACGAGCAACAATCGCTCGGCCGGGCACCGCAACCAAGAAGGGTTTTATTCTGGCCGTATCATTTACAATGCTCTCGACCTTGGCCCGTTATTTTCATCTTGCGCCGCGCCGAGCAAAGAAAAATTCATGATGTGGGTGGTCCTGCTGGTGGCCGCCTGTTCTCGTCCGCCCGCGTGCATGTCATTCCGAATCCATCTCGCACCGAAAAAAAGTTGTGTAAAAGCTGGCGGAATTTGGGAGCGCCTAATTGAATCAAATCAGAGGCGGAAAATGCGCCCGTTTTGCCAGCAGCACCTCTTTGCCGGGGCGCCCCTGGGGATGCAGCGGCACGTTTATGAGCGAGGGCAGGAGACCGTTTTAAAAATTCACGAGGAACCTGTCAGAGCCAATATGGGACAGGTAGAAATCTTGCGTGTTTCTTCCCCGGCGAACTTTTATTTTATATCTGCCAAGAAGCTCTAAAATGAATCTCAGACTTTTGTCCCTTTTCTCTCCGAGTCATAAAAATTTATGCGAATCAAAAGTTTGGCCAAATATTGCTCTTTTTATGTGTTCGAGGGAGAGAGGCGGCCATTGTGCTCTTTATTCAATAAATAGTGAAAAGAGCTGGAATCCTTTGAAAAATTTCCAATGCGTTTTGATTAATTAAAATATCACAGGGCTAATTTTGGATTTTTATAAAGCTGGAACATAATGAAACTGCAGGCAGTGGTTTTTTGATTTATCGTTTCGCGGCTGACATAATGTGGCAGATATATTTTTCCACTCTCTCGCCGCGCGCCCTCTGCTTTTTCGATTGATTTTTTTTACCCCTTCGTGTGTTTTTTGAGAGCCCCGTGTGCTATGCTGATAAAAAAAGCGACAGTCATTTGATAAGTTCATAATGAAAATAATCCATCAAATTAGCTTCTGCTGGTGGTGCTGCATGCGTTTGGCAAAACTCCAGCTGAGGTCAAATTGTCAGAATTAATCATCGGCTGTCGCCCAGTTTTAGCACACACCATTCAATTCAATTCAATTCAATTCAATTTTATTGTTGTTCTGTTAGACAAGAATATTAACAGTAGTCTTTAGAACATGTCAGGTCTAAAATTAAAATTTAGAGAAAAAAACCCGTTGCTTAGGGCAAAGGGAAAAAACTATAAGATTAGCGCGAGAAATTTCACTTGTCAAAACTGCACAGTAAGTATTCGTGTATGTCATAGAAGTTGTGTTCACTTAGCACTTGTTTCAGTTTCAGGGTGAATGTCTTTAGATCTTCAATTTGTTTTAACTCGGCCGGCAAGTGGTTGTAAATTCGAGCGATCATGACCGCCGGATTTTGCGCTGTCAAGTTTAGTGTCACTGGGGGTATGTGAAGGTCTTCATCGTTCACTGGCTTGTTTCTCGTATTGTAGACGTGAACTTCCTCTGCCTCATTGTTTCTGGCAAATTTATCAGGGTATTTCTTTACAAACTTCGCGCACTCCAATATGTACAAGGAAAACGCTGGGAGGATGTCAAAGTCTTTGAATAGTTGTCTGCATGACTCAAGTGGATCGGGTGCTTTCCAGTACCGTTTGCCAGCCATAGCCCGCAGCACCCGTTTTTGCGCGATAGCGACAAGATTAAAGTATGGGGAGGCACCGTAGATAATAATCGAGTACAAGATATGGCTTTGCACGTATGCAAAGTATACCTGTCTGAGACTACTCTTAGGCACTCTCTTGCCCATTTTCACAAACAAGTATGTTGCACTTCTTAGTTTCCCACTCGCATATTCGCACTGTGCACGCCAGTTCATTGTGTCAGTGAATATTACACCCAGAACCTTGCTCTCATTCGCCACTTCGACTTCCGTGTTGTTAAGTTGAACAGAAGGTTTTTCCAACTTCTTTGTCTGAGCGGTGTGAATTTGCATGACCTTCGTCTTTGAGGCATTTAGTCTCAGACGGTTGTTTTCGGCGAAGATCTCCACACTTTTGTTTACTTGCGAGGTTTTCTCGTTAGCTTCGGTGTATGTATTACCCCTTGCGAGGCTCGTCAAATCGTCGGCAAAGACATAGAGGGTGGCAGCTACGCTTTCCAACGAAAAGTCGTTTTCATAGGCCGTGTAACTAAATGGTCCTAGCGACGTTCCTTGCGGTACTCCAATGGAGGAGTCCAACGTTGCAGATGTTACGTTCGTTATGGTCTGGTTTTCGTCAAGGTGCCTAAGTTGAACCACTTGTAGAGTGCTGTTACCGTGCTTTTGCCTTTTCTGAAGCCGTGCTGGAAGCCTTGAATTAGTTGATTGTCTGAAAAGTAGGCGTCAATTCTATTTAGGTAGCATTTCTCAAATATTTTTGCAACCGTTGACGTGAGAGCGATTGGTCTGTAGTTTGCTGCGTCGTTTTCCTCGCCCTTCTTCTTGTAGATAGGTACAATGGTCGCCAGTTTTAAATTTTCAGGAAATTTCCCCTCCACGAAGGAACAGTTTATTAAATCCGAAAGTGGCGTGGCAATGTAAGCGGAAATTTGTTTGATGACGCTCATGGATATTCCGTCAAAGCCAGCTGATTTTTTTGCAGGAAAGGCGCCAATGACTCTCCGAATCTCGTCTGGTGTTGTCAATTGATTAAGTGAAAATATCGTCTCCACTAGTGGGACGTCTTCAATGGCGAGTTGTATTTCTTGTTCACTCATTTCGGGAAGTGGCTCGATAAATTTAGTGTTCAGGAAGTCAGCAATTTTCTGCAAATCTTTTTCTTCTTGCCCGTCTATGCAGATTTCTGAAATAGTGGTGGATGTAATTTCATTGCCAACGTTCTCCTTGATGATTTTCCAAGCCGCTGAGACTTTGTTATTTGAACTCCTGAGCTTTGCTTCATTGTTTTTCCTGATCTCATCGTTAATTAGGAAGCCGACGTAGCTTTTGAGGCTCGCCACCTGCTGCTCCAGGTCCTTGATCTTGTCTGCTTCTGATTGATTGGTGATTGTATTTGCTCTTGCTTTCTTTCGTAGTTCTTGTAGCTGTTCACTCATTTCTCGCAGCCTGATTTTGTTGTTTATTGTAAAGTCAGAGAGATGAATTTTCCCGGCTTGGTTTGCTTTGCGGATATTTTTTCTCAAAGGGAAGCTCGCATCAAAATATTTTTTCAGTTTTTCCATGAACAAATGGCTCTTTGTGTCAGCTGAAGTAGCGGCGAAGATGTCCTGCCAGCGCTCGTAACTTAATTTTTCCTTGAAATTTAGCCAATTTTCATCATTATAGCTTCTTGAGAAGACGAACCAGTCCTTCATTTCTTCTACTCGAACCTCAAACTCGATGTGCACTGCGTTGTGGTCGGAGAAATTGACTTCTTTGACTTCAAATCTAGCATCACACTGAAGGGAGGTGAATGCGTGGTCAATGAGTGTGCTGCTGTGAGCAGTCTCTCGTGTTGGGGCATTTTTATTGATGAGGTGCATCTCGTAGCCTTTCATTATGCTATTTAGTTTCCGGCTTTCGGCGGAGTCCTGGAGCAGGTTAATATTTAGATCCCCCAGAACAATCATCTCCTTCTCTGGTGCCAGATTTTGCTCCACTAGACTCTCCAGGTTGTCGAAGAAAGACTCCATAGTGCCGTGATTGGGTGGTCGGTAGACAGTAAACACCGTCAACGTTGTTTTTTTAATTTTAATTTCACACCCTGCCGTCTCAAATTCATTTTCGATAGAAGAAGTTGGAATCTTCTTGTAGCTAAAATTAGCATTTGTTGAGACGAGAAGAACAGCACCTCCTCCGTATGATTTTTTATCTTTTTTCTCTTTCCTGCCAAAAAATGAAATTGTTTTGTAGCCTTTTATACTGAAGTAATCGCCCCGACACCACCAGTGCTCGTTGAGAGCGATGATGTGTGGTTTTTTGTTGAGGCTGTG